ATTCTTAGAATTCATTGATAAAGGAGAGGGAAAGCTGGACATATGGAAACCCTAGCTTTGGAGACAGCAGATTTGAAAAGATCAGGAAAGTGACAAATAAGGTCCCATGATTCAAAATTCTACAGGGAAAATAAATGCAAGAGGAAGTTCTCAAGAATAAAACTTTAGGGACATCTAGGTGACACAATAAATACAGCACTGGCCCTGAAGTCAGGAACACCTGAGTTCAAATCTGGCCTCAGACCAAACACTTGACACTTACTAGCTGTGTGATCCTGGTAAGTCACCTAACTCCAACTGCCTAAAAAAAAAAAAGGAATACAACTTTAATGACATCACAACAATTCTCAGGAGTAAAAGGCAGAGCTGTCCAAAAAAAAAAAAACCCAAACAACCAGTGAAAGCACTTTTTAAAAGACATATAGAAAATAGAAGTAAAAAAGGTAAAGGATAATGAATACAAAAGATTGGTACATCTTATAAAAATGGTGTCAGGAATGCTAAAGTTAGGAATAAGAGGAGGATAGCAATAAATGCTAAAGTCCAACAAAAATGTAGCAAAAGTTTTACATATGAGGGGAGAAAGGGGAAGATCAAAGAAAGGAGATTGATGCTTGAAGGGATTAGAATAATGATGGCACCTGATAGAAAGAAGGCAGCACCACTCAACTCTCATTTTGATTCTGTTTTCTTTGTCCAGGGAAATAACTGTTCAACTTGGAAGGAAGAACAAAAATGTTTTAACAACCCGTGCTGAGTAAAGAGAATGTAAGAGAGAACCTACTTGCTCTCAATGAGTTCAAATTGCCAAATATGGGTGAACTAAAATGCAGAGTTCTGGAAGAACTGGAGGATGTGATTCCTTAGCTAATGACAATGATCTGTGACAGATCACAGAGAATGGGAGAGATGCTACTATACTGGAGGATGGGAAATACTGTCTTGATTTTCAAAAAAGGGAAGGGGATGCAGTTTGTGAACTATAGGCTGGTAAATTTCACATCTATGCCTGGAAAAATTATAGAACATACAATAATGTTTTATATATATATATATATATATATATATATATATTATATATATATACACACACACATATGTGCCATTAACATATTATTGTATGTTCTATAATTTTTATTATACAAATAGCATTTACACAGAAAATTTAATACAAGATGTATTAATAATAACTAGCATATATATGTATATGCATATACAGATATGTGGTAAGTAGTATTTGGCTATTACAGAGACATTCAAGGTGTATCTTGCCATCATGATTCTGAGTACCCCTGAGGGGTTGGGGCATCTTTTCTCTAATGCTTCTGTTTCAAGCACCCATTCTATTGTGGCTCCCCTCATGTTAGCCTACTATGACTAGCATCCAATTTCCACTTAACCAGTTGACATCAATTAGCTCTTAAAAGTATATTTCCTTCAAAGATATAACAAGAAGCAAAGTACAAACACTGCCCCAAATATTTCAGGAGCATTCTCTCTCCTATACTACTTCAGTTACTGGGGAGAGCAGACTCAAAACAGTCTCTACAGAGTTTTGATCCCCTTAGATTCATGTCCAAATTCAGTAGTGCTGGTGGATTAGTCTTCATCTCAGCTAATGCCTGGATGGATTTTCAAAGTCACTCCTCGTTCCTTGGGGCATGGATGCTGGTCTGGATGCAAAATGCAGCATGGACTTGAGTGGGCTACGGGGTCTTGGGTGGCCCACTGTGATATTTTAGAGATGACAAGGTCATAGTTATCTCCAATCTCCTTCAACTAAAACAAAAGAACAAACTCTAGGGCAAAGAACCAAGGCCTCTATTCACAGGACATATGCTGGCCTCAAATGGGGAGGATACAAGACATGTCCCCTCACATCATTGTCTTTTTTCTCTCATCAGATGTTGTCAGATTGGAAGAAGTCAAATCAAGAGGAGGGATGAGGCCACCTAATACCTTTTAGATGCCTCTCAGTTCTGCAGTCAATTGGGGGGATTCTTATTCACTTTGTGGTTAGCAGACCATAATTAATTGCAGAATATATTCATATGCTCCAAATCTCCCCAAGGGCCTTTCACTACATATAATCATGACTCTTCTGGACGTAAGTTCTTCAGCATCTTCCATATGGGGATTTGCATCAGTGGTACTCTTCATGCTCATAAGAACTGGGCTCACTGGCCAATCCTCCATTACATATCATTACTAAATGACAAACTGATCAATTTGTATATTCTAATAGAACACATAAGTGATCACTAAGAGCCAGAGTTGTTTCATCAAGAACATGTCATGCAAAACTAATCTTATTCCTTTTTTTTGACATGGTTACTCAATCAAGAGAATGTTATAGATCTAACATACCTGGATTCCAGCAAAGCATTTGGCAAAATCTCTGCTATTCTTCTGCACAAAATAGAGATATATAGGCTAGATGACAGAGTGATTAGGTAGATTTGGAACTAATTCAATGACTTTACCCAAAGAATAAATTATGAATGAGTGAATATAAATTCAGAAGTAGTCTCTAAAAAAGAGTACTCCTGAGATCTGTGCTTGGCCTTGTGCTGGTTAATATTTTTATCAATGACTTGGTGGAAGCCATGCTTATTAGATTGCAGATAACAAAAAGGTGAGAGAGAGAACTAACATATGAGATGACAGCAGATTGTAATGGATTTCCCCTCACTTGAGGTCTTCAGGTAAAGGCTGAATGACCATTTGTTGGAGATGTTATAGAGGGGATTCCTACACAGACATGGGTTAGACTAGACGACTTCTGAAGTCTTTTACAACTTTGTGATCCTGTAATTTTGTGAAGATATAGATGGCAAGCTTATTACCTGACATATGTGTGTATATATATATTTATCATGAATATTATATACCTACATATACATATATCCATAGATACATGTTCATGTACATATGCATATATATGTATATATGTGTGTATATGTGTGTGTATAGTTTATTTGATGGATGACAGAATCAGGATCCAAAAATATCTCAGCAATTTAGGATGAGATATTATACCTAATAAGATAAAACTGAATAAGGATAAAAGAAACATCCTATACTTACCTTTAAAAAAAAACACTCACAACTATATAGGCAGAGGATGAGGAATACACAAGTAGAAATCAGTTTATATGAAAATTCCCTGAGACTTTAACTGGGATGATACCTCAATAGGAATCATTAGCCGAAAAGGTCATGTAATTATAAGTAGAAGTAAAGTACCCTGTCCTGGTCAAATGGCATCTGGAATATTGTGTCCAATTGTGGATATTACATTTTAGGAAGGACATTGATCCAGAGGAGTTTATTCAGGACAGTGAAAGGATGTAAAACTATATCCTGCAAACATTGGTTAAAAGAAGTAAAGACATTTAGCCTGAGGAAGAGAAGACAAGAATGTGATTTTGGTTTGCAAGTATGACAACTGAAAGTTATCATGTGTAATTAGGATTAGACTTATTTTTCTGGGTCCCAGAAAGGTATAAATAGGACCAATGGGTTAAAGATGCAGGGAAGCAGATTGCTTCTCTATATAAAGAGCTTCCTAACAATACAGCTGTAACAAAATATAATGTGCTGCCTGGAGAGGTAGTGAATTCCCTGTAACTGGAAGTCTAAAAGTAGAGGCTAGATGGCTATTGTAAAAGGTGGTATAGAAAGGATTCTTGCTTCAGGTAGGGACTATCTGAATAATGTCTAAATTTCTTCCAGTTCTGATTAGCTGGGCAAATCACATCCTCAGTCTCCCCATCTGTAAACAAGGACATTGACTGGATGATCACTAAAGGCCCTGCCAGCCCTAATAGTATTCTGGTTCAATGAGCACATGGTGGAATATGGTCAAATGAACATACTGCACTCCCTCGTTTTTTTTAGTCCAATGCATCAGGGGAGCTAGATGTCTGTTTATCACCTCATTCCAGGTTAGGGGAAGTATTCTGCTCTCAAATCAGAGTTAGAAGAGCTTGACTTTTAGGAAGTCAGAGTCTCCTGCAAGATCAGTGCCTGGGACCCTAGTGTGCAGATGTTAGAACTCTTCTAGGAAAACTCCCAGTGAGGCAGCTGTTTGCCTTTGCTGACATTATGAGAAAGTAAACAGCAATCAGAAGCAACCAAATTTTTTTAGAAAGGGGAGAGTAGCTGAAGAGGGGAAGATAGGAAATGGGGGGGGCAGAAGAAGCTAATTTTTGGAAAAAAATGTTACCATTTTTCCTGTGGCTACAGTCAGTTACAGTATAATGATTTGGTATAGGCAGAACAAACATGTGGAGGATGCCAGCAAGTAAATAAAAGGCAGAGGAGGAAGGATCAACATGTTTTGCTGTCATTTCCAAGAAAGCGATCATGTCCCCACCAGCCTCCCACAGTAGATGACCAGAAAAGAAGGGGGGAAAGCAAACAAATACCAGTCCTTGGAAGTGAGAGTCCTTACTACTGTGTTTCACAGCACACCCTCCCCTGAATGCTGGCTGGAGACCAGACCAGCCACTTGGCGCAGCCATGGCAGCCTGCTCGCTCTTGGCACTGACTCCACATGGCAGCTGGATGGCTTGTAGTCAGGGTAGTTTTGCAGCTGGTAGTGGTAGCAGTTGGCAAAAGCTGACTGTCCAGATGGGCACTAAATTTTCTTTAATGTTTATAATATGTCAAAAGAGAATAATACTATGTCAAAGTGGCTTAGAAGAACATTTACTCAGGAGCTTACAGAGATACTCTTTTTTGACAAGCCTGAGTTTGTTTTGATTCAAACGCACATGCAACTCTTATTTCTTCAGCTTGTGCTATGGATACCCCCCATTATTAACTTTTCAGAGATATCACTGAGCTCCTGAAGCAAGAAAGGAGGAGGGGGATAAGGACCTTGACCTCAATTCATAGCTTGGGGTCTAAAGGTTTCATTGGTCATTAGCCACTGTATTAGGTGGGGAGAGTCTCAATTTGAACTTCGGAGAATGATCAGTTCAAAGTTTTGGGGAGCAGAGACTTTGGTTTTATTAGATTTTTTTTTAATACATCCAACATCAGTCACGGCCATGAGAATTGTGTCACATGAACAGAAGCGACCAGAAAGACATCTGCCTCCTGGCTGCTAGATTCTTGACAAGGTGAGGAGGAATGCCACAAAGTTAACTTTTCTTTCTTTGCCAGATTCCTTGAGTGGGGAAAAACAAACAAACAAAATCAGATTAACTTTATTTAGGGAAGGAATACAAAGGATAGTTTCTTTGTCACATAGGAACCTGGTGAATATTTGCTCTCAAATGAATAGTCACCAGAAAAATGACTTGAAGAAATGATTTCCCTAAAACTTTTCCTTGATGAAATACTGTTGTAGTTACAAAGAGCTATTTGGTTTTTAGAAAAATATAGATTTGGAAAATGATGGATACAAATTGCTCTTCATATTGTCGCAAGGTGTTAATTTTGTGAGACTTTGATTTAGGTTCTATAGCGGCATGTATTATGTGAACACAAGTAATGAAAATTAAAATGCTCCTTTCCTAGGAGAACTTGAGATCAGTTGTGATCTAGCTGTGTAGAGGTCTGATTAGTTCTTGGTTCCCACCTGGTCTGACAAAGATTTTAAGCCAGGCTTCTATCAACAATCTTCCATAGAGTTCCCCTTCCCTATTTCCATTTTCCACTATGCTCTGTCTTAATTCTATAGTAATCCTCCCCACATGGCTACAGCTTCTTTATTGCCCCTCATAATAGGTTGTAGACTATTCAACCACAGTTCATACATTTAGTGTGTTCCTTTCACTTTCTGATACTATGCTGTATGCAATTTTTTTTCCCTTTTGAATTAATTTCATTTCAAGGTCTACTCTCTATTTCTTGTCCCATACTACAGGAGTAGGTGACCCAGAATTCTGGATGAGTCCAGGAGTGGGAGAGAAGAAGGAAAGCAGGGAAGATACACAAGGTTTCTTTGTAAAACTGAATAGTATTTCATTTCATTCAATTCAACAAGCATTTATTAAGTGGCTGCTATGAATCAAGCACAAGTAAAATGGAATAATACTTGCCCTCCAGGAGCTTATATCCCATTAAAGGAAAAAACAAAAAATCATGTATATATAAGTTAAAAAATATGTTCCAAGTAATTTCTAAGAAATGAGCACAGATTCAGTATAAAAGGCAGTTTGTTAACATATAGAACAAGGGTTCAAGAAAGCACAATGAAAGGTTAGGAAAGAATGTGATAAGGATATTAGAGAAATGTTACTGACATGGATGGGTATGAATGGGAATGGAGTGGTAGTAAAGTAAGGGAGCTTTGACCTAGTGAGCCTATAACTTTGAAGCACAGAGATACTGAATAGAGCCATAGAATAGTAACTGTTTAAGTCATCCAAAATAGCAAAGGTCATGTAGATTTGGTTAGAAATCCCCAAAGAAGAAATGGAAGGAGGAAGTGGGCACCAGAAGGGGAGAGGGGCTTGTACATGTGCAAGCAGAGCATGCATACCCTAGTCCTACTTAATTGTCAAAGCAGGAGCCAGTGGAGTACTAAAAGCAAGTCTGAAAAATGCAGTCTGTCAGTGGAAGGTTACATTCTCAAACCTGAGAAATATCTACTAAAATTAGAAGCAACCAATGTCTGAAAAGACCAGTATTGTGAATCTATTAGAATTTATATCTCTGTGCATCAGTTTCTCCATCAGGACTTGTGTGATGATAGGTGACTAGTGTTTCTTAGACAGAGAGGGAGAGTATGAGATTAATGAGCTATTTGGTCAGTTCCTCTCTGCTTCTCATTAACAGGTCACCATATGGGACGAGCAGGGGCTAGCGGAAGGAAAAACAGACTATCATAAGAGCACATAGAGGCATTAAAAGAAGTCCTTTTTTGGTGACAGGATCTCACATATAGATTTTACCTCCTCCTTGCCTGTAATATTTCCACAATGTGAAACCTCTACCCTGGGGCCCTTCTTTCCCCATTGGTGACTCCCACTCCAGAGTCACCATTTTGATAAAGACCTGAGCCATACTTCATTTCATTCTGACCACAACCCTGTCTAGACTCCACCTCCTCCTCACCTACTATATTGCCCTTGCATGGGTATCCCCTCTGACCCTTCTCCCTTTCTAGCACCTTTATATGTATTGTCTTCCTATATTAGAAGGTAAGCTTTTTTGGGGGAGAGGTAGACTCTGTTATGCTTCCCAGAGTGCCTGGCACATGATAAAGAATTAATTAATGTTTTATTTCTCTATCTTACCTGACTGGGTGATGTCTATTAGCTTTAATTCAACAAAATCACCTAGTGTCCACTATGGGCAAGGCTCCATGCCAGGCACTGCAGGATACAAAGATGGATAAGAAATAAGGCCAGATCTCAAGTACCTTACAGTCTAGAGGAATGTGAGGGGGATACAAGTACACAATAATTGTGAAGGAAAAATGAATGAACGATATAAGTGCAAAGGTAGGTCCAGCCACAGTAATAGAAGAAATTTGACGAGACAGAGATAATTTGTACCTTGAAAGGGGTAGAATCAGGAAAGGTTTTATGGAGGAGATTATATGTAAGTTAAGGCCTTGAAGGAAGAGAGGGACTTTAACAGACAGAAAAATACGGTATATTTTGTGCACCTGAATTGGCTTTTAAAGCCAACAATGGTCACAGGTATGGAATGTCTCTGTATTTGGCCCCGTTTTATTTTGGAAGGGGAAGTTCAGAAAATCTTGGTAAACTTTATATGTCACATCCACAAATAATCCCTTTCTACTTCATTCTCTATGCCAGTCAAATCTTCTCAATAACCAAGGAAGGTGGCTGAGACATTTTTATTGTCGTTTGTCCTTCATTTTCCAACAAAACCAATGACATCACAATGATGCCTTGACTTGCTGAGAATTGGATTTAAGTGAGGCAGAGCTTCAAAAAGTCATCAGCCTCACTCTTTCTTCCAATCATAGAAGTCCAGTGGCAAGACAAAAGTGAAGACAATGGTCAATGCAGTGCATGACCCTGGCATCTTTGATGTCTGACCAAGCTCTAAGCACTCCACAGCTCCTGTTTCTCATGCAGCTACCACCCTTATTACCCTTTCACCTACTTAATAAACACTTGTTGACTGACTGTCTAATGTTAGTCATAATAATAGCTAGCATTTAAATATCACATTAAGGTTTGCAAAGTGCTTTACTTGTGATCCTCAGAACAACTCTGTAAGGTAGGCCCTATTATTATTATCACTACCATTTTGAGATAGAGTAATTGAGGCTGACCAGGAACTTCCTGACACCAAGTCCTACACTCTGTCCACTGTGCCACCTCACTAGTAGCATCACTGAGTCATACATATCATGCAACCACTCTTTCCCAAGAGGTCTCTGAAGCATAATTTTACCTCTAATGCATGTGATTTCATCAGTATGGATACCCCCTTCACTAATACAAACTGCAATTCCTATGTAGTTAGTAAAGGGCCTTTGAAGGGAAGGAGGAGAGGAGGGATTAAGAATTTATTAAATGCCTGCTATGTGCCAGGCACTATGCAAAGTGCTTTACAAATATCTCATTTGATCTAAATGGTCAAAGGATATAAACAGGCAGTTTTCAGAAGAAGAAATCAAAGCTATCAATAATCACACAAAAAATGTTCTTAATCACTATCAATCAGAGAAAAACAAATTAAAACAACTTTGAGGTACCACTTTATACCTACCAGATTGGCTAACATGACAGAAAAGGAAAAGGGTACATTCTGGAAAGAATGTGGAAAAATTGAGACACTAATGCACTGCTGGCAGAGTTGTGAACCAGTCCAACCTTTCTAGAAAACAGTTTGGAACTACGTCCAAAGGGCTATAAAACTGGGCACATCCTTTGACTCCACAATACCACTACCAGGTCTGTACCTCAGAGTTATCAAAAAAAAAAAAGGGAAAAGGACATATTTATTCAAAAATATTTATAGCAGCTCTTTTTGTGGTAGCAAAGAATTGGAAATTTAAGAGATGCCCATCAATTGGGGAATAGCTAGTATATGACTGTGATGGAATATTATTGTGCTATAAGAAATGACCTGAGAAGACTTATATGAAATGATGTTAAGTGAAGTGAGCAAAACCAGAAGAACACAGTGCACAGTAACAGCAATATTATAATGATGATCAGTTATGAAGGACTTAGCTAGTCAGATCAAGACATGATCCAAGCCAATTCCAAAGGGCTCATGATGAAAAATTCTATCTACCTCCAAAAAGAGAAGTGATGAATTCAAAGTATAGATTAAAGTGTACTTTTTTCACTCTTTAGACATCTTGTTTGTTGTTTTATAACATGGCTAATACAGGCATATGTTTTGCATGACTTCACATGTATAAAAGACATATTGTTTGCCTTCTTGAAGAGTGGGAGAGGGGAGGGAGGGAGAGAATTTGGAACCCCAATTCTTTTAAATGAATGTTAACAATAAATAATTTTTAAAAAAGGAGAAACAAGTATCTCATCTGATCTTCACAACAACCCTGGGAGGTAGGTGCTATTATTAACCTCATTTTACAGTTCAGAAAATGGAGACAGACAAAGGTTAAGTGACTTATCCAGGGGAAGTGTTTGAGGTTGGACTTGAACTCAGATCTTCTTGGGAGTCAGGAAAGCAACTATGACTGAAAAATGCATCGTCCTCCAACAAGTCCAGCAATGAGCCTTTCCAAATTAAACTAGAAGGGGTGGAGTTCTTATTACCTGATCTGTACTTACAGCTTCCCAGTGTGGGCAGACTCCAGGAGGAGATCCTTTACAATTTGATTCCACGATTGGGCATCTTAAGCACTCTCAAGATCTGCAGCTCCTGGGGTAGATAAAGTATCCATGTTTGGGTTTCTACTAGAAATTGTTTGTACTTGAACACACAAATGAGACAATGCAACTACACATAGGGAGCAGGACTTTCCTAACAAATTCAAGGAATGGATTTAGGATTAAGCCTGATACTTAATGATACTTACACTACGTGGGCAGATTGCAAAGAAAGTACTCTCCACTGTTCAATAATATGTTCCATTTAATTGCTCTGATATTGAATAAAAATCCCCAAAGAATTTTAGCTTCCAGCAATGATTTCTGTCTTTCCTTTGGAGTCTAGACTGATAATGATTTACTGAAATGTGTGGTGAGCAACATAAGAAAAGGCCTTAAAAATGTTTAATATTTGTGGTTATTGTGCGAGGGGGGATAGGGGAGAGAGAAGGCAGGGAAGGGAAAAGAAAGCAATATTGTGGCTCGGTACTAAATTTCCAGATGGAACTATTCTGCTATAAATAGGACATGAATATCAAAAAGCCCAACTGAAAATAGCTAGAGTTGGTCAAGATGGGAAACCAGGGTTAGGAAAGAGGAGTTTCCAAATCAAATCAAACCAGTTTTCTATAAAAGTCTTAATGTGGAATTGTCACAGAACTATTTAAGAAAAAAAAATCTTTGAATAAGCAACTTATTGGATTCTTTTCAACAACGACTATCATGCTTTCATGAATATTCATGAGTAAATCTACAAACATAATTCAAAAAGGGGAGTGAAAATTTGTAACATTATACTGCAAATTAACTTCTATGATCCCTATTACCTTCGTTTTCATTTTGGTGGATAAGATTCAGAAAACTATGTGGCCACACCCTGCCCTAACCAGTCTCTTCTACCAGTGACCCTTGACCTACCTACAAGTAATTCAGTCCTGCTTAATCTATGACTTAAATTATTTTCTGATGCCTTTAAAGGCCAATAGCACTTCCTGTACAAATCAACCAAGACCTCAATTCATTGACAAAATTTTGGTTAATAGTTTCTGGTTAAGTAAGGGTTCATTTTTAAAAGTTATCAAGCACCTATTGTGTGTTAAGAACGGTGCTAACAGTAACTAAAATTGATACAGTTTTTTAAAGTTTTCAAACTATTTACGAGAATAGAATACGTGAATACATGAAATTATATCTACAATGAATAGAATACTGGGCCTGGAGTCAGGAAGACCTGAACTCAAATATGACCTCAAATACTTACTAGCTATACAACCCTAGGTAAGTCACTTAAATTCGCTTTGTCTCAGTTTCCTTCACTGTAAAATGGGGATAATAAGAGCAGAGGATAATATTTGTAAAGTGCCTAGGACAGCACCTGGTAAATGCTGCTGTTCAGTCATTTCAGTCATGTCTGACTCTGTGACTTCCAAATGGGTGTTTTCTGGCAAAAATATTGGAGTGGGTTGCCTCTTCCTTTTCCAGTTCATTTTACAGATGAGGAGCTGGGACCAACAGGATTAAGTGACTTTCCCAGGGTCACACAGCTTGTAAGTGTCTGAAGCCAAATTTGAACTCAGGAAGACTGCTGGAACCAAATCACAAAACTGACAGTCCCTGAGTTTGGGCAAGTACCAGTAGGCCCAGACATGAAATCCTGCTCCACAAGGACTTTTTTGCCACTAGACAACCTTGCCTCACTACTGGTTAATTCTTTGTCTAGCCACAACCATATATATCAAGCTTTAGCCTCACTGCCTTGCATCTCCTCCTAAAGGAGGCCTCAGCATGTGTGTATAGTTTCCTTCTTCCAACAGAAGGAACCACTATTAGCTCTTTGGTTTTATTTTATTTTATTTTTCAGAGTTCATAGTTGTTGTGATGACTTCTGTGAACTCTTTGGTATTTTTTTTTTCAGAGTTAATAGCAGTTGCATAATCTCTGTGACTCTTTGGTCATTTGATTTCAGAGTTGACACTAGTGAACTCCGTTCCATTGTTTTCTCCTCAATATTAATTGCTAGTTAAAATTAACATGTCCCCTATATTACTGATTGATCCAGTGATTAGTAGCATTAGATTAGGAGTGTATGTGTGTCAGAGAAGACTAGCGCCTCTGGTGTAACAGCTGATGAGCCCTTTTTAGGGCTGCTTTCCACCTTTGGTGTCCACCTGCCACTCAACTCTTACTTGTGGCTCCAAGAAGCTGAAGCACAAGCAACAGCTACCCTCCAGTAACCTATTTAAGCAAACAGGCTAAACTAGATTGAGGATAATTAACAGGCCTCAAACCTATCAGTGAGTTAGGGGGGTGTCTACCCCCAAGCATGTGAAGACTTCCTCCAGTGGAACTGATTGATATGAACAATGTGTTCCACAGGGCCAGCAAGGTGGTGGAAGCAGGAATGCTTAGAACTTTGCTAGACATTAAAGATGTCAAGGTCATCCACTGCATCCCAACCCATCACCAGTCATCTTGACTTTTGTTTTGCCACCATACTCTGATGACTCTGGAAGAGAGAGTGAAGCAAACAACTTCACACAACTCGGCCTCATTTAAATCCAGTTTATGTGAGAGTCAAAAGATATCACCCAGAGATGTCATTTTGGTCCTTTTCAAGAATAAAGGACAACAACTGATTAGCAGCAGTCCACTATTCATTTAACCAATTAACATGAATTCTCTTTTACAAAGTGATACAAGAACAAAAGTACAAAACTCATATCACACCCCTCCCCCCAAACACCAGGGGCACACTCTCCCTTTTACCACCTCAGTCTTTGATGAGAATTGGCTCAAACTTCAAACAACTGCTGAAAAAACATCCACTCCAAATTCACTTCCAGATGTTGGTGTGGATGATGGATGAGTTCTTCCCTTGCTGCAGCAAGACACAGTGTCTCAGAATCGATCCACACCTGAAATGGGACAAGTAAGTTACTCCTCAGGACATTGCCAGTGCCTCATTTAAAGTGAGGGATGTAGACTAGCTGGCATCTGAGCTCACACTTAGCTTTAAATCTCTATTCTCATGTTAATGTTTTCCAGGGTGATCACTCTTAGTATCAATATGACTATAGAGGACTGAGTTAAAGCTCAAACAGGCCTAGTCTAATTCCCCTCACTTTATTTTTTTAATACTATTGTATTTTTTCCTAATTACATGTCAAGACAATTTTTAGCATTCATTTTTACAAGATTTTGAGTTCCAAATTTTTCTCCTTCCGCTCCTCTCTTTCTAAAATGGTAGGCAATTTGATACAGGTTATCCATGTGCTATTGTGTAAAACATATTTCCATATGAGTCACAGTTGTGAAAGAAGAAACAGATCAAAAAGAAAAAAGCCCTCAAAAAGAAAAAAAGTGAAAAAAGTTTGCTTCGATCTGCATTCAGTGTCCATCAGTTCTTTATCCGGATATAGATGCTTTTTTCTTCAGGAGTCCTTTGTACTTAACTTGGATCATTGTGTTGCTGTGAAGAGCTGAGTCATTCATAGCTGATCATTACACAATATTGCTGATATTGTGTACAATGTTTTCCTGGTTCTGCTCATTTTCTTTGGCATCGGTTGGTACATGTCTTTCCAGGTTTTTCTAAAATCTGCCTATTCATCATTTCTTATTTCACATTACATTCATATACCACAACTTGCTCAGCCATTCACCAACAGATGGGCATCCCTTCCATTTCCAACATTTTGACACCATGAAAATGGATGCTATTATAATTTTTGCACATGTGGGTCCTTCTCCCTTTTTTATAATCTCTTGGGGTACATATGTAGGAGTGGTATTGCTGGATCAAAGGGTACGCACAGTTTGGTTGTGTTTTGGGCATAGTTTCAAATTGTTCTCCAGAATAGTTGGATCAGTTCACAACTCAACCCGCAGTACATTAATGTCCACATTTCCCCACATCCTCTCCAACATTTATCATTTTCCTTTTTTTTTTATTATATTATCCAATCTGATAGGTGTAAGATGGTACCTCCAAGTTGTTTTTATTGGCATTTCTCTAATCAAAAGTAATTTAGAACACTTCTCCATATGCCTAGAGATAGCTTTGATTTCTTCATCTGAAAACTGCCTGTTCATATCATTTGATCATTTATCAACTGGGGATTGGCCTGTAGTCTTATAAATTTGAGTCAGTTCTCTTTATATTTGAGAAATGAGGCCTTTATCAGAGACACTTGCTATAAAGATTTGTTCCCAGCTTTCTGCTTTCTTTCTAATCTTGGTTGCATTGGTTTTGTTCATGCAAAAGCTGTTTAATTTAATATAATCAAAATTATCAGTTTTGAATTTCATAATGCTCTCTATCTCTTGTTTGGTCATGAATCTGTAACTCACTTAACTTCTCCCTGAAGAATTTGGATGCTATACCACTTGGTGCATATATGTTTAGTATTGATATTACTCCATTATCTATCATATGTTTAGCAAGATGTGGTTTCCTTCCTTATCTTCTTAAACTAGGTGTATTTTTGTTTTTGCTTTGTCTGAGATCAAGATTGCTATCCCTGATTCTTTTTTTTTAACTTCAGCTGAAGCATAATAGATTCTGCCCCAGCCCCTTACCTTTACTCTGTGTGTGTCTCTCTGCTTCAAGTGTATTTCTTGTAAACAACACATTGTAGGATTCTGGTTTTTGATCCACTTTGATATCTGCTTCTGTTTTATGTGTGAGTTCATTATGATTACTAACTGTGTATTTCCCTCCATCCCATTTTTCCTCCTGTTTGTCCTCTCTCCTTTTATCCAGTCCCTCCTTGACAGTGTTTTGCTTCTGTCTACCACCTCCTCCAGTATACCCTCCCTTCTTGTTGATTTTCTTGTTAATCCTTAATCACTGAATAGGCACAGCCTCAGTCAAACTGAGACCTGTTAAAGACCTTGGCTTGAAATGGCCAAAATCCCCACTTCATTCTGGGCCATTACCAGCCATCCTGATCTATGTCTGGCCACTAGACACAGATGCAGGAGAAAATGAGGCTGGTGACTTTGCACGGCACTCCTTCACTTAAATCTAATTCACTTGCATCACCTCCCTGAGGCCATAGTCCTCTTCAAGAACAAAGGACAAATAGTAGCTACCTCTGTACCTTGCCCTCCCCAGCCCTCCACCTTTACTTAATCTCCTCCCCTCCTACTTTCCTGTTGGGTAAAATAGATTTCTGTATTCAAATGACTGTGTATGTTATTTCCTCTTTGAGCTAATACTGATGAGAGTGAGTGATGCCCATCACCCATCCTCCTATCCTTTCCTCCACTCTAATAGGTTTTTAGCACCTCTTCATATGAAGTAATTTACCCCATTTTACCTCTTCCTTCCTTTTGTACTCAGTGTACTCCTCTTTCTCATCCCTTAATTATTTTTATGTCATTCCTTCAAATCTGCCCTATACCCATACCCTCTCTCTAAGTGTATTCTTTCTAGCTGTACCATTAGTGGTACAATTTTTAAGAATTACAAGTATCATCTTCCCGTGTAGGGTTGTAAACATTTCAGCTCTACTGAGTACCATTCTGCTTTCTTTTCCCTTTTTAGGCTTCTCTTGGGTCTTGATATTGGAGATCAAATTTTTTGTTCAATTCTGGTTTTCTACCTATAAAACCTTGAAATCCTTCTATTTCATTAAATGATCATTTTCCCCTTGGAGTATTATGCTTAATTTTGCTGAGTAGTTGGTCCTTGATGGTAGTCTTTGCAATTTTTCCTTCTAGAATATCATGTTCCATAACCTCCAATCCTTTGATGTTGCAGTTGCTAAGTCCTGTGTAATTCTGATTGTGGTTTCCTGATAGCTGAATTTTTTTTTTCTGTCCTCTTGCAGTTTTTTTTTTCCTTGACCTGATAGTTCTATGACTTGACTATGATATTCCTTGGAGTTTTTATTTAGGGATCTCTTTCTTGAGGTGATTGGCAGATTCTCTCAATGCTTATTTTGCTCTCTAGTTCCAGGATATCAGGGCACTTTTCCTTAATAATTTCTTGAAAGATGCTTCTCAGGTCCTCCTTGTGATTATGGCTTCCAAGCTGTCCAACGATTCTGACATTGTCTCTCCTGGATCTATTTTCCAGGTCTGTTGTTTTTCCAATTTTTTTTCCAATTTCTTCTGTTTTTTTTTCATTTTTTAAAAATTTGTTTGATTGATTCTCAATGTCTCATAGAGTCATTAGCCCAATTCTAGCTTTTATGGAGGTGTTTTCCCCATTTCGCTTTTGTACTTCCTTTTCCATTTGGCCAATTGTATTTTTGAGGGAGTTGTTTTCTTTAGTGGATTTTTGTGTCTCCTTTTCCATTTAGACAATTCTACTTTTTAAGCAGTTGTTTTCTCTTCCCAAGCTGTTGACTCTTTTTTTATAATTCTCTTGCATCATTCTCATTTCTTTTCCCAATTTTTCTTCTAATTCTCTTATCAGGTTTTTGTTTTGTTTTGTTTTTTAGGCAATTGGGGTTAAGTGACTTGCCCATGGTCACACAGCTAGTAAGTGGCAAGTGCTTGGTCTGAGGTCAGATTTTGAACTTAGGTACTCCTGACTTCAGGGCCGGTGCTCTATCCACTGTGCCACCTAGCTGCCCCATCTCTTATCAGGTTTTTAAGCTCCTTTTTGGGCTCTTTTATATGTTCTTTCCAGGCTTGAGACCACTTCCCATTTTTCTTTGGAGTTTTGCCCACAGGTGTTTTGACATTGTTTTCTTCTGAGCTTATGTCTTTGTCTTCTCTGTCACCATAATAACTTTCTATGGTCAGATTCTTTATTGTTTCATTGTCGTGTTTTGCTCATCTTTTTTGGACTTCTTTTTTTTTTTTTTTTAAATTTGAGCTCTGCTCCCAGGTGGAAGGGGCATTGTCTCAGACTTCTTGTGACAGGGGCTGCAGGCCCTGGCTATTTACCTGGTGCTGCACTGATGTTGCCCTGAGGCCAATGGGGGACCCCTCACGTCTGGTGCTGCACTGAAGCAGTAGGGTCAGGGGTGGCTGGTGCTGCTGAAGGCAGTAGGGATCTGGTAGCTTATGTGGTGCTGAGCTGGGGTCCTAGTTCTTGTGCCTGGCATGTGCAGAAGCCAGTGGTGTGTTTTGGCATTTTGCTGTGGCTACACAGAACAATGTGGAGGTTTAGTCACTGGTGGCTGCCTGTTCGCCCGGGGCTACACTGGAGCACATGGTGGTTCTCCAAGCTGCAGTCTGCTGGTCCCCCTGGCTATGGTGAGGCATGTGAGGGGTCCCAGTGTTGGTGTCTGCTTGCTCAGGACTTCTTGCTGGTTTACTAAGGTGGGGCTTGCTGCTGGCTTGGTGGGACACTTCCTGTCCTGGATTGCATTCCCCTTTCACCTGCGTGGGACAGACTTTTCTTGTCACTCTTCCAAGTTTCTTGGACTCAAAGATTGTTTCACCTCATCTTTTTGCTGATTCTGCTGTTCCAGGATTTGTTTTGGGATGCTGTTTTTTGGTTGTTTGGAGGTGAATATGGAAAGCTACAGCAATTTACTTCTTACTCCTCCATACTGGCTCCCAGAAATAAAATTCAACCCCCACACTTTAGAAAAGAGAAAATAAGGCCCAGAAACGATTAGTAACATCTGGTTACCCAAGAATACACAGCAGAGTTTTTCTCACTCCAATGCTTTCATCTCTCTGACTTTCTCTACCACATACACATACACACTCACACACACACACACACACAAATTGTTTTCTAGTTCTTTTGTTGTACAAATAGTATCTCTCTATCCATGCACATGTGTACAAAAAGAAATGGGACTGGGTGTATGCAGACTCTAGGACATAAATTTAATCCCTGAAAGAAGTTTTTTCCTTCATTTTCTGAATCTTATTTTTTGTTTTTGGCTAGGCAATGGGGTTAAGTGACTTGTCCAGGATCACACAGCCAGTAAGTGTCAAGTGTGTGAGAGGGGCAGCTAGGTGGTGTAATGGATAGAGCATTGGCCCTGACGTCAGGAGGACCTGAGTTCAAATACGGCCTCAGACCAAACTCTTGACACTTACTAGCTGTGTGACCCTGGGCAAGTCACTTAACCCCAATTGCCTAAAAATTAAGGAAAAAAAATTGGGGCAGCTAGGTAGCGCATTGGATAGAGTATCGGCCCTGAAGTCAGAAGGACCTGAGTTCAAATCCGGCCTCAGACCAAACACTTGACACTAGCTGTGTGACCCTGGGCAAGTCACTTAACCCCAACTGCCAAAAAAAAAATCAGACCTGGGATAGGCAAAAGGCTGTGATTGGGATGCCACCTTAGCTCCAGCCCTACTATTAGGGAGCAGCTAGGTGGTGCAGTGGATAGAGCACCAGCCCTGGAGTCAGGAGGACCTGAGTTCAAATGCAGCCTTAGACACATAACACTTACGAGCTGTGTGACCCTGGGCAAGTCACTTAACCCCATTGCCTAAGCAAAAAGAAAAAGTGTGAGGTCAGATTTGAACTCAGGTCCTCCTGACTCCATGGCCAGTGCTCTATCCACTGCACCACCTAGCTGCCCCTGAATCTTACTTATTTGAACACAGAAAACAAAAATGGCATCGGGGTCTTACATAGGCAAAAACGTGAGGGAAAGGTCGAGGAGGCATTATCAGGGATGGATCAGTGGATAATCATGTAATACAAACTTCTCATCAGTAAAACTCTTCAGCATTTGTTGCATTCATGTCTTCAGTTAGCTAGTTGAACATTTCCAGCAGACAGAATGTCCCCAAGGACATGTGCTACCAGCACTGAGAAACAAACACAGAAATGACAGATCCAATAAAGGTTTGAGAACAGTGGTGAAAGGCGAGAAATGAGGCTTTTTAAACACAGTGCTAATCACTCCTCAGGCTGATTAGAAAGAGTCAAGACATACCCTCGATGCTATCAGATGAGTAGCTGGGGTCAAGTCATGGGCTCAGGTTATGCAGAGTCCTTTCAGCAGTGAGTGAGTCTAGAGTCAGTAGAAGGAAATCAGGAAAGATCTGAATGATTCCAGAAAGACTAATTTTATAAGCTGTGTAAGTCAGGGGAGTGAGCCTGTATACAGAAAGGAGGAAGGGAAAGGAACAAACATTTACTAAGTGCCTACTATATGCCAGGTACTTTACAAATATTGTCTTACAACAAGCCTGGGAGGTAGGTGCTATTATTACCCCCATCTTACAGTTGAGGAAACTCGGGTAGATAGAGGTTAAGTGACTTGCCCAGGGTCATACAGCTAATAAATGTCATATGCCAGATTTGTTCTCAGGTCTTCTTGACTCCAAGCCTAATGCTCAATCCACTGCACCACTGGTGGGGGAGGGGGAGGAGGTGATTCTACATACAAGAGATAGAGAAGAATGCTAGAACAAAGGTAGAATTAGTGCCAGGCTTCTCACAGAGACCTGAAGAGATAAGAAATTCATGGAGGAGCATGGGTCCTATGGCTTTCACAATGCCATTATGCCAGTATTTGAGATCAGTAATGAGGCACTCCAATCACATGCCCTGTATTTAAAAGGCCAGGTAGGTTCCACACGGAATAAAAGAGTACTCAGGAGATGCTGATATGCTTAGGGCTTCTGGTATAACTAAAATCAGCAGCAATAGTGTTAAGGAGTACCGGTAACTTAGCAGTGTTCCATTGAGCAACCTGCAAAGGAGTTAGATAAAGTTAGGTAGTCTCTTCCTCTCTCCTCCTCAATCACCACACATACACACATCGTGCACCAGACAAATCACAGGGTTGAGGCTGAGGCTGGGGGGTAGAAAAGACTGAAGAGTGAGCTGATGACTTTTTGGTCACTCCACTTCCTCCAAACCTCCAGCAAAATCACTGCCCTTTGTTCTCCATTCCATCCAAACACAAAAGTGCTAGTTTCTCTAGATTTACTATTACTGAGGAGGGTGGGGGTAGAAAGAGAATGACATATGAATATATGAATGAATATGTTTCTGCATTTGTTCATGTTTCCTACATATAATTCTAATGTGGATAACACATTAAATATCTCCATGACTACTGGACCATGTAGTTAGGATAATTAGGTATGACTATTGTATATGGCATTCTGCAGAGAATGAACTGTGAGTAAGGAAGACCTATGTTTAAGTGTTACCTCTCACACTAACTGGGTGACTGTAGGCAAGTCATTTAGCTTCTTGGTACACTAGAAAACTCTCTAAGACTCTACGTTACAGACGAGGTGCCGGTCTGCATCAATAAAAGGAAGAATCCATACTAGACATTTTGTCCCTATATGATGAAATCAGAGGTCTGGATCCCAGTTCCAAAACTTGTATAATAATGTATGCATGCATATAGCTCAAGTCTATGGATATCCTGATGTGTCCTGTAAAATTTTAAGGGACTTCAAATTCTTTACTGGGGGGTGGGGGTGGGGAGAGCATAGTATCCAGCAGTTTTATTGTCGACAAGTATGTAAGGATATAGAACAAAGGCAAAGGCTTTGGGTCCCCAATTTCTCTGCCCTTTTGCTCTTACCCTTTGATTTATTTCCATAGCTACTAAGAGCACTGAAGGAGGCCAGGGAGGGAAACTTCGTCATCCAAGCTCCATACAATTCCAACTAGGTTTGGCTGAGTAGAATCTGAAAAGTGGTTTAAGGGAATACAGACTGGCCAGCTGAAGTTTTAATAGAATCATAGGATCATTGATTTAGAGCTGGAAGGAATGGTGGTGGTCATCTCTTCCAATTTCCCTCTTCATACAGATGATGGAACTAAAGAGCAGAGAAATAAAATGAGCTGTTCAAGTTCATGTGACAAGAGACAAGTGGTGGGGCCATGATTTAAATCCAGGTTCTATGGATGTAAATCCAGTGGCTTTTTCACTGCATCAGGCTGTCTCCAAGTTAAAAGGAATTTTCTAAATCCTTGGTCAGGTTGTTAACCAGGGTCACCAGAACAAAAGTAGTCAAAAGAATATATTTAGACACTTACTAGCTGTGTGACTCTGAGCAAGTCACTTAACCCCAATTGCCTAAAAACAAAACAAAACAAAACAAAAGAATAGATTTAACCTTAGCCCAAGGCTTTTTGCTCTCTGCCTGGGTAAAAATGGTAGCAATAGACCTGTTACTCACTAAAATCAATTTACATTCCTCCCTGCCCCTGTCTAGCTTTTCTTATTGCTACACTCTCAAGGGATTATAGAACAGAGCAAGAGATCACTCTTTCAAGACTGAATAGTGGAAAACCAGAAGGTCATGGTAGAAAACTGTTCAATGACCACAAGAACAGCAGAGAAGCCCAGCAGAAATGACACTTGAATGAGGAGGATGATACACCCAACAGGGAGCATCAGAGAGACATTCAATGACATCACCAAAGGTAACTATAGGTAACTCTATAGTAGAGATGTGAATTGCCCTGATCACATATGTGTTATGGCTACATGTGTTACTGGTATGTACCTCAATATGCATGCTTCTTGGCCACAGAGTTCCTTACATATGTGCCCAGGTTGTATGCTTCCTGATTACTCATGTTCAAGGTATGTGTGCTCTACCCCAGTGGTAGCACATAAAATGTGGAAGGCTATAATGCATGTGTGTATGGTAGGGGGAAAATATTTTCTTGTTATGTAACTTGCTATGCTTTTTGATTAAATATATTTTGACTTGAACTAATATGTCCACTGACCTTGCAAAAATAAACATATCACTGGGATTTATGAGTTATGGCTCTGGGTGGATGTTGATCCACAAAGTAATTTGAACCTTGAGTAGCCCCTGTTATTACATTTTAGACATTGAATATTGTGCTCCCTCAAAAAAAATTACACCATATCATATATTCCTAGATTTATGAAGAATCTTTAGGGGGACTGAAAAATACCTCCATTACATTAAACATTTCTCCATTTCTCAAGCCATTATTTCTTTCTATGCTTTCACTCATTTTGGGAGAAGCCATTAAATACATCATTATCACCACATTTACTCTAGTAAGATTAGGAATTATAAATTAGCAGTAGATTTAAATTAATCTTATCTCTTGAACTAAAAAGGGAGGTTTTGGGGACAAAGATTCATGATACATACATATATATATATCACACACAGAGATATCCATACCCTTGATATTTCCATGATCCATAAGTGTTTGACTTCCATGTTCATGAACTTTGAAATTGCTTTATCTAATCATAATCTTTTGTCATTCCATCTTTTCTCTATCTTATGTTCCTCAAACTCTATTCCTCTGTCCTCACTGTGACTTCTAATTTCTTCATTCAACATTTCTTTTATAGTTCATCACTTCTTCACTGGCTACTCCCATCTCTAAGCCTTGGTGAATCAGTTTGGCCCTACTCTTCTATTGAGACCATTGCCTCTTATTTTATCATTGATTTTGCCCTGACAATCCCATTTTAGAATACTTCTGTAATATACTGCTGTCATTATTATTTATGATTGGCTGAATAATGCCAGTGAAAAATCAGGAAACCAGAGTAGGGAATTCAGGGAGCCAAAATGGCAGAATAAGGAATAAATTGCTATAACTCTCAAATATTCACCTCCAAACAACCATAAAATAGCGCCCCCAAAAAAATCCTAGAATAGCAGAACCAGCAAAAAGATGGCATGAAACAGTCTTTGAGACCAAGAAACTTGGAAGATTGGCAAGAAAGGAATGGCTCATTTGGGTAAAAGGGGAATGCAGTCCAGGACAAGAAGTATCCCAGCAAGCCCCACCTCAGCAAAACAAAGGGAAATCCTGGGCTCCAGTGTGGTGGATCAGGAAATATCAAAACCAGGACCCCACATATACCTCAGTATACCCAGGGGAACCAGCAGACTGCAGCTCCAAAAACCATGATGGGTTTCAGCATAGCACTGGGCAAACAGGCCTCCACCAGTGGCCAGACCTCCACATGCTTCATTACAGCCCCAGCAAACAGGCAGCCACCAGCACTGGCCCCCTACCATGTGCTTCAGAGTAGTCATGGGGAAACACAGAACCACCACACTAGCGCCAATAAATGCCAGACACCAGAACTAGGACCCCTACAGCCTCCAGCAGTGCCAATCATTTCCCACCCAAAACCTTCAGTGCAGCACCAGACATGGGAGTCCCCCATGGGCCTCAGGACAACATCAGTGAAGCACCAGGTAAATAGTCAGGACCTGTAGCCCCTGGAACAAGAAACCTAAGATGGTGCCCCTCCCTCCCTGGTAGCACAGCTCAAATTTTTAAAAAAGGAAGAAGGCCAAAAAAGGTGAGCAAAAAATAAACAAACAAAAAAAGAATCTGACCATAGAAAGTTATTATGGTGACAGGGAAGACTAAAACACAAATTCAGAAGAGGACAACAATATCAAAATACCTTTGGGCAAAACTCCAAAGAAAAACAGAAGTGGTCTCAAGCCCAGAAAGAACTCATGAAAGAGTTCAAAAAGAAACTTTAAAATCATATGAGAGATAGAAGAAAAATTAAGAAAAGAAATGAGAGTGATGCAAGAGAATTAAGAAAACAACTCCCTAAAAAGTACAATTGGCCAAATGGAAAAGGAAGGACAAAAGCTAACTGAGGAAAACACCTCCATAAAAGTTAGAATTGGGCAAGTGGAAGCTAATGACTGTATGAGACATTGAGAATCAAACAAATTAAAAAGCATGAAAAAAAGTAAAAAGTAAAAACAACTGATCTGGAAAATAGATCCAGGAGAGACAATGTCAGAATCACTGGACTACCTGAAAGCCAGGGTAGCCCTGGACAGCCCCCTTCAAGAAATTATCAAGGAAAGCTGCCCTCATATCCTGGAAACAGAGGACAAACTGGGAATTGAGAGAATCCACCGATCACCTCAAGAAAAAGATCCTAAAACAAAAACTCCAAGGGTCACTATAGACAAATTACAGAATTATCAGGTCAAAGAAAAAATACTACAAGCAGACAAAAAAAATAAGTTATCCAAAGCCTCCAAGAAAAATATAAATTGGTCTCAGGCCATGGAAGCACTCAAAAAGGATTTTGAAAATCAAGTAAGAGAAGTAGAGGAAAAATTG